TCGCTCTTGCTTAGGCTGGTCTCGAACTCCTGAGCTCAAACAATCCGCCCGCCTTGGCCTCCCAGAGTGCTAGGATTACAGGTGTGAGCCACCGCGCCTGGCCAATTTTGCAAATCTTTGAATCCAAAATGCCCTTCAGAGGCAGAGGCATCCCAGAATGGACTTCCCCAAAAGAATGACTCATGTGCTTACTGTCTGATTGCATCATAATGGAAATGAACAGGTTTGAGGAAATGTTCTGGGGGACACAGAGGAGGAGGAGACACCCAGGGTTGAGTCAGGGAAGGCCCCAGGCTGCTCCAAGGGCGGGTGGGGGTGAGAGCGAGGGGAGCAAGGACGCCTTGTGTCCTCTGCGACACAGGAGCCAGCATCATCTGGGAGGGAACAGGCTTCAGGCTGTTAGATGCAGCCAGGAATCTATCAACCAAAGAAGCATTAACCATCGAGCTGCAAATAACAGCTACCTGCATTTCCTAGTCAGCCCTGTCTATCACGGCCCCGACCGCCCGCCCTTTTACACAGCGAGTCATGCTCTGCGTAGCTGGGAGGTGAGCCTGGGAGGCAGATGCTGTTGGCGTCCCACTGAGGTCACTTTTAATGGGCGGGTCATCACCCGTCTCCCAGCTGCCCTGTGTTGGCTGATAACCGCTGCAGCTGCCTCGAGTCGGGAAAACTGCCCTTGGCAAAGGGAGGCCGCTTTGCCTAGGAGAATGCACACATCTTCCCCTCTGGCAGCTGGTGGGTGATGGCTGGCTGGCACAGGGGAACCAAAAGGCCGGGCCCTTTCCCTCTGTCTGGGACCAACTCTGGGTGCAATGCATACTCCAGAGCCGCTGTGCGGTCAGGCTGTGGACAGCCTCTAGCTGACGCTTCATCCTTTTTATCTTCTTCCCTCTGCCCTAGACTGTTTCCTTCCTCCCTTTTCTCCTGACTGCTCTCCCCCAGGAAACAGCTTTCACCAGAATCCCTGACTCAGGCTCTTTCCAGGAAACCCAACCTAAGACACGTAAATTGTGGACACTGTGGTCACAGAGACTTGCGTCCACATCCTGGCTGATTCGTCTGCGAGCTACTCGACCTCTCCAAGCTTTCTTTACTCATCTGCAAAATGGGCATGTTAATACACATTATCTTGTAAGGTTTTCGGGAGGAGTAAATAAGAGAAGACACGTAATGTGCCTCACGATATACTCTCCACACATTACTTGTTCTTCTCCCGACCCTTGAAGGAAGTGTCTGGGAGGAGCATCTAAAGTTGGGATGGCCACAACTAGGAGAGAGAGAGAGAGAGAGAGACAGAGAGAGAGAGAGGGGTGACATTCAAGGCTGCGTTTCCAGCTCTCACCTATGGGGACAGAGGAGATCTGGGAATACAGGTCCAGCATCCGGTTCCCATCCACATCGACCAGGTAGTTGCCTCGGCTCTCTTCATAATTGCAGAAAAAATGCACGGCCTCTGCGTTCTTGGGGAGAGAAGAGACTGACTCAGCCTGGCTACAACTCCCTACGTTCTTACCTGTTCAGTGTTAAGCTTGAACTGGTGAAGTAAACCATGTCCTGCCGTTCTGTGGGCATGTGGGAGTGTCCGCGGGTGCTGCCAATGTTATGCTTCTTGCTCTGGGGTAATTACACGGGTGGTTTGTTTTATAACAGTCCATTAAGCTGTGATTTTGTATTTCACAAACTTTTCTGTTTATATTTTCTATATCAGAACAAAAAAGGTGGAGATACAGATCTGAAGTAGATTCTGAGACGTTAAGCTATATATGGTTATTATCTACGGAGTACAACAGATACAACTTGGGTGATGGGTACACTGAAAGCCCAGATTCCACCACTATGCAACATATACATGTAACTGAATTCAACTTGTACCCCCCGAAACCTAATTTTTTAAAAATAATATATATGGTAAGCCTTAGAGCAACCACTAAGGAAACTAAAATTATCTACGGAGTACAACAGATACAACTTGGGTGATGGGTACACTGAAAGCCCAGATTCCACCACTATCCAACATATACATGTAACTGAATTCAACTTGTACCCCCCGAAACCTACT